TGTTTTGGATGTTTCATGATAGAATATCGTGTTGTCATCAGTATGACGTAGGTATTTCAAGTTTGCAGTTGATAGCACTTTGGGAAGTGGGTAAAATTTGAGTTATACTGGTCGGAACAAAGTGAACCAGCCTACAATAGATTATATCGTCCGTCCGTCCGATGTCTGATTAGGTGTAGCAACATCGCCCCCTACTGCAAACACTTGGCAGGACCCTACAAAAACCTTTAGACTCAGTGAGGCTTTCCTGGCTCAACAAGTGTAACATTCCATTATAATTCCCTGAGATAGTTTTTAATTAAAACATTTAAATTAACAATTAACTCACAGCGGCCTAAAGCCTTACAGCTAGGCCTAAAGCCTAGAACTAGGTCCTCAAACTCTCCCTTCGTATCGTACCCCCGCCATTTCATTTTATTATAGCCATTCATTTGTTCGTTCCTACCAGCCCACCCCGCAGGGACCTGTTTCGAGAAGATGTTTTTTGGAGGATACAACAGACTGAGTGAGTTAAATAAAAACGTGTAATAAAAAGAGGATGTCACTCCCCAGTCTGTGTGTGCTTTTACATCGCACGGGGCGGTGTTTGTGCAATGCGTTTGGCGAGTTTAATGTAATCATCACACCCACCCACCCATTTCATTGCATTATTTATTAACGAGCTTTAATATAATTTCTGCCTTTTGTTCAACCATCTGAGGTCGCTGGGTTTCATTATAAGTGTTAATGGAATTGATTTGAACTGTATCACGGATAGTCATAATCTTTGGGTTTTTTCGGTAAAGTCACGTAGGTAAAAAATTTAAATTAATAAAAAAATAAAAAATAAAATAAAAATCACGACGGTTCCACCTGAAGACGGAAGCTTGTGTTGCCTCCGAAACATTGTGATTTTTATTTTATTTTTTATTTTACTTTTATTAATTTTAATTCTTAACCTACGTGACTTTACCGAAAAAACAAAAGAATATGAATCCTTGCAGCCACGAAAGCTTCAAATCTAGAATGTATCACGGATCTTTGCGATTTATTTCTTGCTTTATGACCTTTAACAATGAGGCCCCCATTGAGATACAGCACATTCATGTGTGTTGTGTGTTATTATTGTGATTTGAAGTTTTCGTGACTGCAAGAATCCATACTCTTTGGTTCTTTCGGTAAAGTCACGTGGGGTATAAAATAAAATAAATCGCGACGTTTGGGGCGCAACACATTTTATTTCATACCTACGTGACTACCGAAAGAACCAAAGAGTATTGTTGTGTTTATGATTATTTGCGATTATGCACAAAGTGTATCGCGACTTGTTACTGGCTCTCTAGTTGTCTAGGGGTTTGTATTGTTAATCGTGACGACATCGATGAATCTCGCTTCAACATTCAAACGTAGGTCTACAATCTTGTCGCTGACATCCTTGGAGAGCTCTTTGGTCTTGGCCATGGTGGAGAGTTTGGAATCTGATTGATTGCTTCTGTGAACAGGTGTCTTTTATACAGGTAACAAGCTGAGATTAGGAGCACTCACTTTAAGAGTGTGCTCCTAGGAGACGTGACGTCATCGCACTGAACGGCACACCTGACGTCACGTCCCCATTTTACTCCTCTACACAATAATGAAATTTGATTTAAGTCTGACAACATTGATGTATCACATCGTGATGTGAGTGAAAATAACACCATTGGGTTTCACAATAGCTTTGTGTCTTTCTGTATGCTGAGCGTCTTTGGTCTTGGACATGGTGGAGAGTTTGGAATCTGATTGATTGCTTCTGTGAACAGGTGTCTTTTATACAGGTAACAAGCTGAGATTAGGAGCACTCCCTTTAAGAGTGTGCTCCTAGGAGACGTGACGTCATCGCACTGAACGGCACACCTGACGTCACGTCCCCATTTTACTCCTCTACACATATAATGAAATTTGATTTAAGTCTGACAACATTGATGCATCACATCGTGATGTGAGTGAAAAGGAATAACACCATTGGGTTTCACAATAGCTTCGTGTCTCTCTGTATGCTGAGCGTCTTTGGTCTTGGACATGGTGGAGAGTTTGGAATCTGATTGATTGCTTCTGTGAACAGGTGTCTTTTATACAGGTAACAAGCTGAGATTAGGAGCACTCCCTTTAAGAGTGTGCTCCTAGGAGACGTGACGTCATCGCACTGAACGGCACACCTGACGTCACGTCCCCATTTTACTCCTCTACACAAATAATGAAATTTGATTTAAGTCTGACAACATTGATGCATCACATCGTGATGTGAGTGAAAAGGAATAACACCATTGGGTTTCACAATAGCTTCGTGTCTCTCTGTATGCTGAGCGTCTTTGGTCTTGGACATGGTGGAGAGTTTGGAATCTGATTGATTGCTTCTGTGAACAGGTGTCTTTTATACAGGTAACAAGCTGAGATTAGGAGCACTCACTTTAAGAGTGTGCTCCTAGGAGACGTGACGTCATCGCACTGAACGGCACACCTGACGTCACGTCCCCATTTTACTCCTCTACAAATAATGAAATTTGATTTAAGTCTGACAACATTGATGCATCACATCGTGATGTGAGTGAAAAGGAATAACACCATTGGGTTTCACAATAGCTTCGTGTCTCTCTGTATGCTGAACGTCTTTCACAGCGTACGTAGTCAACCACGCTAATCGCCATGTGTTAGGCTACTAAATACGGGTCAACTCTGGTTGCCCGCGTTTCATTTGGGGATTGTTGAGTTTATCCACTTCTAATTTGGGGAATGTGGCATTGCAACACCAAGCCCTGAACAGAGACCGCACATTTATTGTCACGCACAGCGATGTCAGTGTACAAATTACTGCGAAAAAACACGGTGACAGTCAGAGGAGCAGTGGCAACACAAGCCAACAATCTTGTCAGAATTATTAAATTGTACATTTATATGCGATAACAAGTACATGTTCAAAACTTTGTGACGTGTAGGGGTTGGAATTCAAGCATACTTTCAAGGTGACACTGCAATGCACATGCTAACAGACGATACAGTTGTTTAAAATGAAAACGTAATTTCAATACTCAATCATGTTTTTACAGTTCGAATTTGTCTCAGAGGAAACATTCTAATATCGCGACGGAATCCACGCACACACATTACTAGGAATTGAGTAAAATTGCTTTAGAATTATTACGTACAGAACACAATCATCTCCACACTCGTGCTTAAATGTGGGAGTCACAGCCTTAGGGCTGAAAATAAGATTTCAGAGCTCACGGGAGTCAGGCCATTGTCTGAAAGGCACAGCCATTTTAGAGCCTCGGGGATTTTACCGCTGGGCCTAGGGGATTTTTTTCGATTTAAAGCTTTCGTGACTGCAGGGATTCATCTTGGTTCTTTCGGTAAAGTCACCACGTAGAAGGGAAATAATAAAATAATAAAAATAAAACATTAAAACAATTCTCACGACGTTTCGGCCACAACGCAAGCAGCCGTCCTCAGGTGAAAACCAGGTCTGTCGAGGCGACAGCGTCACGTGTGCTGTTTCATTCAGACGCTGTCTCCCCGACAGACCTGGTTTTCACCTGAGGACAGCTGCTTGCGTTGTGGCCGAAACGTCGTGAGAATTGTTTTATTATTTTATTACTTCCCTTCTACGTGACTTTACCGAAAGAACCAAGAAGATAGGGGATTCTTGCGCGGTTTCTGCTCCGATGGCAGCCAACGGTATCGGCCCCCGCTGAGGGTGATCCTACATCACTCCCTGAGGGGGACCCTTCGCCGTCTCTCTCTCTCTGGGTTCGGCGCTGCCGTCAGCTCGACCGCGGAGCCTTCAACGGAACCACCACCACCGCCGCCGGCGATCGCTGTGCCCGGGGGCTCTGCGCCTGTCAGCGGCGCCGGCTTTTCCAGCGGCCGTCGCCGGTACGTATGGTAGTAGTGGTAGTAGTTGTACTACTAGTGGTACGTGTGGTACGTGTGGTAGTAGTGGTACGTGCGGTACTAGTAGTACGTGTGGTACTAGTGGTACGTGTGGTAGTAGTGGTACGTGCGGTAGTAGTGGTACGTGTGGTAGTAGTGGTATGTGCGGTAGTAGTAGTACGTGCGGTAGTAGTGGTACGTGTGGTAGTAGTGGTATGTGCGGTAGTAGTAGTAGTGTAGTAGTAGTGTAGTAGTGGTAGTGGTACGTGTGGTAGTAGTGGTACGTGCGGTAGTAGTGGTACGTGCGGTAGTAGTGGTACGTGCGGTAGTAGTGGTACGTGCGGTAGTAGTGGTACGTGTGGTAGTATTAGTGTATAGCTGTGTAGTCTATATTACTGTAGTGTATAGTGTAGTGTATAGTAGTGTAGTGTATAGTAATGTATTGTTTAGTACTGTAGTGTATAGTTGTGTAGTGTAGTGTATAGTGTCATGTGTAGTATAGTGTAGTGTATAGTAGTGTACTGTATAGTAGTGTAGTGTATAGTGTAGTGTATAGTAGTGTAGTGTATAATAGTGTAGTGTATAGTGTATAGTAGTGTAGTGTATAATAGTGTAGTGTATAATATTGTAGTGTATAGTAGTGTAGTGGTGGGAGGCTGATGCCAGGTGGTGGGGGGCTCAACGACACATCCACAGCTCACGCGAGATCTGACCCCCCAAAGAGAAGACCTTCATTTGTGAATAACTCGGCGTCAAACTCGCAACAGGAAACTTAAAAGGCGATTTGAAGCTTTCGTGGCTGCAGGAATCCATCCTCTTTGGTTCCTTTGGTAAAGTCACGTGGGTAGAAATAAAATAAAACAAAAATAAAAAATTCGATTTAAAGCTTTCGTGACTGCAGGGATTCATCTTCTTGGTTCCTTCGGTAAAGTCACGTAGAAGGGAAGTAATAAAATAATAAAAATAAAACACAATATTGTATTGTGTTTTATTGTGTTTTATTTTTATTATTTTATTACTTCCCTTCTACGTGACTTTACCGAAAGAACCAAGAAAAATAAAAATGTTATTCACACCTACGGGACTTTACCGAAAGAACCAAAGAGTAATGAAACTTAAACTGAGATGGGTAGATATTTCTCCGATCGGACAGCCCTTCCCTTCCTAGAGGCGGCCTTGACCTCTTCTTGTTTTTCTCCGGAATCTTCCACTTCTGCTGCTGCTGCTTCGTGTTTCTTTCCCGGCTGCACTTGGGGGCTTCTGCTCACGGCCACCGCGGCCGAGTGCGAGGCCGGAGACCCCCGCCGTGCTCCCTCTCCGCCTGCCCCACCTCTCCCTGTTCCGCTCTCCCCGTGTCCCCAGGCTGCCCTGGCCCGTCGGGGCGATTGGGAAATCGTCAGGTCCAGCCGCCGCTCTATCGCGCGCAGGTAGCCTTGCAGCTGCAACGCATCCGCCGCCGCTATCGCCATCCGCCGGGGGGCGGCCTCCTCCGTCTCGGCCGCGTCGGGAGGAGGAGGAGGGGGAGGAGGATTGACCTTCGCAATCCTGTTGATGACAACAACAACAGCGCGTTTTTAAATGCTCACCGTTAGTCTTGGCAAAGTGTATGCAGGCCAGAGGTCGCAAACGGGTTTTGATTCCTTACCCGTACCCGTACCCGGCCAAACCAGGGTCGCAAATGGGTACCCGTACCCGTACCCAGCCGGGTATGGGTAGCCGTTCCCTACCCGTGGTCATAGGAACTCACAGCGTACCCGTACCCTACCCGAAATGAGTGACAAACGGCGACTCACCGGTGACTCACGGCCTACCCGTACCCGTACCCTACCCGAAATGAGTGACAAACGGTGACTCACCAGTGACTCACGGCCTACCCGTACCCGTACCCTACCCGAAATGAGTGACAAACGGCGACTCACCAGTGACTCACGGCCTACCCGTACCCGTACCCTACCCGAAATGAGTGACAAACGGTGACTCACCAGTGACTCACGGCCTACCCGTACCCGTACCCGGCCGCACCAGGGTCGCAAACTGGGTACCCGTACCCGTACCCGGCCGGGTACGGGTAGCCGGGTATCGGGTAGGGTACGGGTAGTATCGGGTACCCGGTTGCGACCTCTGATGCAGACGGTCTCCTGGGTTATGGAAGGGTTAGGTTCCCGAGAGCGAGCCGTAACCCAAAGTTCCCGCTGTGTCGGAAACTGAACAATTGTCCCCCAAAATCAAAGATGTCGGGTGTGGACCAAACAACTTCAAGGACAGTGCATATTATTATCATCAGAGTTGTTTATTTTTGTTTGCATTTTGACTACATGTGTTGTGGTTATTGCAAACATGATGCCTTGTATAAAGGTGTCAGTTTTTGTACCAGTTTAAAGGGTAAAAACCTACTACTATATTTTGCCACTGCTAAAGGAGACGTCTCATAGCGCTGTAAATACCGTTGCCGGCGCTTGGCTCGGCTGCCCGGCAGCACGTCCCTGAGAGCGCCCATCCCCAGGTGCCACATCTCGGCCAGATCGAGAGCCAGGCTGAGGCAGCCCACGGCGTACATGACGTGCAGGAAGACGGTCTTCTCCGTGGGCCTCGACACGAAGCAGTCGACGAAGTGGACGCAGGGGTAGCGGCGGGGGCACACAAAGCGGGGGATCACCTCCAAGCCGTACATCACGTACTGGCCCAGAAGGAAGCCCGCTTCGGCCACCGTGCGCAGGACGAGCTGCAGCGCGTAGGCCCACATGAGGCCGTCGGCCCTGATAGCGCGACGCCCGTCGTGCCGTCTGTAGTCGTTCTTCTTGACCTCGCCGCTGCCGGCGCCGGCCTCGTCGGCAAACTCCCCTCCTTGGTCGCCCCGCGAGCTTTCTGACCTGCGGATAACGACGCGGGAGTAAAAGTTAAAAATCTCCTTCTCGCAAGAACAAAGAGTAGAATGAAGGTTTTTTTTGGGGGACTTCGCCGTTATTATCACGGTTATCGTCGTCGTAGTAACTTTACTAGGCCTAGTAGTAGGTTTTTACCCTTTCAACTGGTACAAAAACTGACACCTTTATACAAGGCATCATGTTTGCAATAACCACAACACAAGCAGTCAAAATGCAAACAAAAATAAACAACTTTGATAATGATAATAATATGCACTGTCCTTGAAGTTGATTGGTCCACACCCGAGACGGCTTTCTTTAGAGCCTAGTCCCCATTGGTGTTGGACCAGATGACACCAAAAAGGCGCACAACTCAAAATTATACCTTGTATAAAATTGCGTCAGTTTTTGTACCAGTTGAAAGGGTAAAAACCTACTACTATATTTTGCCACTGGTAAAGGAGATGTCCCATAGTGTAACTTCACTAGACCTCTGTATCCTGTGTATGGCGAAGGCGAGGTAGAGAATGCTTGGCGTCGCCACGGTGATAATCTGAAAGATCCAGAAGCGCACGTAGGACAGGGGAGCAAAGGTGTCGTAGCACATGTTCGTGCAGCCCGGCTGTTGGGAGTTGCACATGAACGAGCTCTGCTCGTCGTGGTAGATTGACTCGCCCGCCACGATCGTCAGCATGATGCGCAAGATCAGGAACGTGGTGAGCCACAGCTTGCCCAGGTACGTCGAGTGCAGAGATATCTCCTCCAACAAACTCGTCAGGAAGTTCCAGCTCATTGTGACCACCGGCTCGCCAGAAGCGTGCCCACCTGAGAATTCAAGAAGAGAGACACGGATTTAGACGGCACATCGGCTGGCCGCGCGCCGCGTTGAGCTCTTCTGCTGCCTCGGGATACCCACAGATGTCCAGTAGGGGGCATGGGGTAATCTTAATTTGGAGCTTTCGTGACTGCAGGAATAACTCTTTGGTTCTTTCGGTAAAGTCACGTATAAAGATAAAATAATAAATTAAATACTAGCATATGACGTTTCCATTGCAACACAAGCAATCGTCATCAGGTGTAAATGAAATAGAAACACAAATCTAGTATACTTAGACATGTAATGTAATACAACAGAGAGTCGGATAACATAACAGTCAACACCCTACCTGGTTGATTACATTCTTCCTGAGAATGCTAAATTTGAGAGATAAAACACAGAAACAGAAACATAGACAGACATATAAGCAGACAGATATCACAGAGATACATAGAGAGAGACAACACAGAGACACACAGAGACACACACACAGAGACACACAACATAGACACACATACAGACATATAAGCAGAGACAGATATCACAGAGATACATAGAGAGAGACAACACAGAGACACACACAGAGAGAGACACACAACATAGACACACAGAGACACAGAAACACACACAGAGAGAGACACACAACATAGACACACAGACAGACATATAAGCAGATAGATATCACAGAGATACATAGAGAGAGACAACACAGAGACACACAGAGACACACACAGAGACACACACAACATAGACACACAGACAGACATATAAGCAGAGACAGATATCACAGAGATACATAGAGAGAGACAACACAGAGACACACAGAGACACACACAGAGAGACACACAACATAGACACACAGACAGACACATAAGTAGACAGACATCACAGAGATACACAGAGAGAGACAACACAGAGACACACAGAGACACACACAGAGAAAGACACACACAACATAGACACACAGACAGACATATAAGCAGATAGATATCACAGAGATACATAGAGAGAGACAACAACAGAGACACACAGAGACACACACACAGAGAGACACACAACATAGACACACAGACAGACATATAAGCAGAGACAGATATCACAGAGATACATAGAGAGAGACAACACAGAGACACACAGAGACACACACACAGAGAGACACACAACATAGACACAGACAGACACATAAGTAGACAGACATCACAGAGATACACAGAGAGAGACAACACAGAGACACACAGAGACACACACAGAGAGAGACACACACAACATAGACACACAGACAGACATATAAGCAGACAGACATCACAGAGATACACAGCGAGAGACAACACAGAGACACACAGAGACACACACAGAGAGACACACAACATAGACACACAGAGATACACAGAGAGAGACACACAGAGACACACAGAGAGAGACACACAACATAGACACACAGACAGACATATAAGCAGAGACAGATATCACAGAGATACATAGAGAACAAACATACACACACAGTGGAAGCCACGTCTCTGTGTCGAGGTTGGGGTAAGAGGGTTACAACAACACACTACACACAGTTTAACACGCAGCAGGCTTTCGCGACCAATTAAATTCATAAAATAGGTTTTTGGGTTTCGATCGCGTTATTTATAAATGTGTCGTAACCCTCCACCACACCCGACACGGCCAATCAGCAAAAAAGTGTCACGTTGACAAAAGACAAAATAGTTCACTACTTTAGCCCCACAACGGTGTGTTGTTGAAGAGTGAAACCACAACATTTACAATTGTTTTTATTTAAGACCGGGAGCCAGAGCAGAGCCTCACCATTCTGACAAACTGCCCGATGATGCTGGATGCAGTTACCAGCGGAATGTCACAGTATTCAACAAATGTAAATGTTGTGGTATAGTGTATAGTAGTGTAGTGTGTAGTATATATGTGTATAGTGTAGTGTATAGTAGTGTAGTGGATAGTAGTGTATATTACTATAGTGAATATAGCAGTGTATAGTGTAGTGTATAGTAGTGTAGTGTATAGTAGTGTATAGTGTAGTGTATAGTATAGTGTAGTATATAGTAGTGTAGTGTATAGTAGTGTAAAGTGTATAGTCGTGTAGTATATAGTAGTGTATATTACTATAGTGAATATAGCAGTGTATAGCGTAGTGTATAGCAGTGGAGTGTATAGTGTAGTATATAGTAGTGTAGTGGATAGTAGTGTAGTGTGTAGTATATATAAGTGTATAGTGTAGTGTATAGTAGTGTACTGTATAGTATAGTGTAGTATATAGTAGTGTAGTGTGTAGTAGTGTAACGTGTATAGTGTAGTGTATAGTAGTGTATATTACGATAGTGAATATAGCAGTGTATAGTGTAGTGTATAGCAGTGGAGTGTATAGTAGTGTATTGTATAGTAGTGTACTGTATAGTGTATAGTAGTGTAGTAAATATAAGTGTTTAGAGTAGTGTATAGTAGTGTAGTGAATACCAGTGTAGTGTATAGTAGCGTACTGTATAGTACAGTGTAGTATATATGTGTATAGTGTAGTATATAGTAGTGTAGTGTATAGTAGTGTATTGTATAGCTTTGTAGTGTATAGTCTAGTGTATAGTAGTGTACTGTATAGTATAGTGTAGTAGATATAAGTGTATAGTGTAGTGTATAGTAGTGGAGTGTATAGTAGTGTAGTGTACATTACTATAGTGTATAGCAGTGTATAGTAGCGTATACCAGTGTAGTGTATAGTAGTGTAGTGTATAGTAGTGTAGTGTATAGTAGTGTAGAGTAGTGTATAGTAATGTATAGTGTAGTGTATATTACTGTAGTGTATAGCAGTGTATAGTGTAGTATATGTGTGTATAGTGTAGTATATAGAAGTGTATTGTATAGTGGAGTGTCCAGTAGTATAGCATATAGTTGTGTATAGTGTAGTACGTAGTGTAGTACTGCACATCCTGTACACCAGGCGAGGTAGTTAACATTTGCCAGCCACCGTGATGATGGTGGTGTAACCCACGACCTCCTGTATACCAGGCGAGGTAGTTAACATTTCCCAGCCACCGTGATGATGATGGCGGTGTAACCCACGACCTCCTGTATACCAGGCGAGGTAGTGAACATTTCCCAGCCACCGTGATGATGGTGGTGTAACCCACGACCTCCTGTACACCAGGCGAGGTAGTTAACATTTCCCAGCCACCGTGATGATGATGGTGGTGTAACCCACGACCTCCTGTATACCAGGCGAGGTAGTGAACATTTCCCAGCCACCGTGATGATTATGGTGTAACCCACGACCTCCTGTATACCAGGCGAGGTAGTTAACATTTCCCAGCCACCGTGATGATGATGGTGTAACCCACGACTTCCTGTATACCAGGCGAGGTAGTTAACATTTCCCAGCCACCGTGATGATGGTGGTGTAACCCACGACCTCCTGTATACCAGGCGAGGTAGTTAACATTTCCCAGCCGCCGTGATGATGATTATGGTGTAACCCACGACTTCCTGTATACCAGGCGAGGTAGTTTACATTTCCCAGTCACCGTGATGATGATTACAATGTAACCCACGACCTCCTGTATACCAGGCGAGGTAGTGAACATTTCCTAGCCACCGTGATTATGATGATGGTACCCATGACCTCCTGTATACCAGGCGAGGTAGTTTACATTTCCCAGTCACCGTGATGATGATTACAATGTAACCCACGACCTCCTGTATACCAGGCGAGGTAGTGAACATTTCCTAGCCACCGTGATTATGATTGTGTAACCCACGACCTCCTGTATACCGGGCGAGGTAGTTAACATTTCCCAGCCACCGTGATTATGGTGGTGTAACCCACGACCTCCTGTACACCAGGTGAGGTAGTTAACATCTCAATTACCGAGGCGTCAACACCAACGAAGGCCCATGCGACCACCAAACCTCAGGGTCGTTGAAATGGCAGCAGCAGAACTCATCCGCAAGTTGTGGAGACCTGCAGAGACCCACACAGCGAGTTGGCACAGCAGGGGGCCACAAGGTGGTGGTAGCATCAGCCACTCGTCTCAGTCAGTCGACACGTGACACCTGCTGGGTCTGCCCCGTCACCTCCTCCTGCCACGTGGTAGCCTCAAGGTGCACGTGGCCTGGCAAAAGCGTCGTGGTGACGTCACCGCCACTTAGTGGCGAATGGCGGTTGTTGTTGTTGTGTGTGTGAGTGTTAAACTGCGTGTGTGTGTATACGTGTTGCGCCATAGCAAGGCTCTGCAGGTAACCTTAGATGCCCCCAAGCTCACGGGCCCACAGGGGGCAGCAGAGTTCCTATGACCACTGTTTCATTGCTTTTATGGCTTTATTTTGGTGGTTTTTGCAGCTCCCTTTGATGCTGTTAATCCTGCATAATGCACATGCATATGTAGTACTAATCACACACCTGCATTTCCCATAAATATGCTAAATTCCTCTTGATATGCAAATTCCTTTGTCAAGGCGCCCAGCTTATATATATGCTCCAAGCACGTGTGCTGTTTCATTCAGACGCTGTCGCCTCGACGGACCTGGTTTTCACCTGAGGACGGCTGCTTGCATTGTGGCCGAAACGTCGTGAGAATAATTTTATTATGTTTTATTTTTATTTTATTACTTCCCTTCTACGTGACTTTACCGAAAGAACCAAGAAGATGAATCCCTGCAGTCACGAAAGCTTTAAATCAAGATTTTTGAAAGGTTTTTTGGTTTGGCCATGTTTGTTTGTTGTAGTACACAGTTAGACTGATGGCCTTTATCTAAGTTGTCTTGTGGTTGTTATTGTTGTTTGACTTGCATCCCACTGGGATTTTTGCACACAGCGTTGGTGTGTAACGGTGTTTTTTTCTGCAATTTTTTTGCTGTCTTTTCTTGGATTTTCTGTTTGCACTTAGTCACATAGTCACTTTAAGATGTTTTCTTGTTCATGTTTTTGTTTTTTTTTGTTTGTTGCGGTTGCACCCGATTCAAGA